AGGAAAAGCTAGAGAGATAGGAATGCATAGTTAAGAAGGGCACAGGGAAGGGGAAGTCACAGGAATGGAAGGGGAGGAAAGTTTGTTATGGTTGGGGATGGTAACTGGGGAGTGAAATCAAATGCACACAAACGGTTGAATGAAAAAGAAATTTGCTTTGTAAATTTGCACCCAAAGCACAATAAAATTTAAAAAAAGAAAAGAAAAGAAAATTATGCGTTAAACTCTTCTACTATTATTGTAGAATTGTCGATTTATCTTTTCAATTCTGTTAAAGTTTGTTTTATGTATTTTAGAGCTCTTTCATTGAGTGCATAGATACTTATTATGGTTATTTTCTCTTGTGGATTGACTATTACCACACCTGCTCTTTTTTGGTTGCCATCTGCTTGATAATTTTTCCATCCCTTGATATTTAGCTTATTTGTAATGTTGTGTCTAAGGTGTGTTTCTTGTTAGCAGCATATTGATGAGTCATGTTTTCTTATTTATTCTGCCACTCTCTATCTCTTGACTGGTGCATTTAATCCATTTATATTCAGTGTAATTATCAACAGGTATGAATTTACTGCTGTCATTTTGTTGTGTGCTTTTGTGGGTATGTGGTGTGTATGGTTCCATATACTTTCAGTACTGAGTTCTTTTTATTTATGAATTTTCTTTTCATTTGCTTCACTGCTGTTGATTTTCTGTTTACTGAGTCTTTATGGATTTACTCTTTTTTATTTTGGTGAGAAGGTTTTTAAAGTTTCTTTGTGGTTACCCTGAAATTTACTTTTATCTTCCTATGTTTAAAACAGTTCTTTTTTGAAATTGCCTTCACTCCTTTTCCATATGAAAGTTCTGTAACTACACTATTTATTCCCTCTTTTTACTTTGAAGTTGTCATTGTTTACAGATTGATGTCTCTGATTCCATATTTTCCGTCTTGTAGCTTTATTTTATTTTTGAAAATTCTTTATCTGGGTTTGTTTCTGGGTGATGTTGTGATGTGTTTAATCTCAGATTGTTGTCTGACATTGTTGTTTCTTTTTCCAAAGGACTCCATTTAGCATTTCTTGTAAGGTTGATCTGGTTTTCACAAATTCTCTTAATTTCTGTTTATCTGGAAATTTCCCAATTTTGCTATTGTATTTGAGTAACAATTTTGCTGGATATATAATTCTTGTATGGTAATTTTTTTCTTATAGGGTTTTACATATGTCATCCCATTCCTTTCTTGCCTGCAAGGTTTCTGCCAAGAAATCAGAGCTTAGTTTTATTGGTTACCCTTTGTAGGTAACACTTCATTTTTCCTGAGCTGCTCTCAGTATTCTTTGTTTTGGTTTTGGAAATTTTGATTAAGATATGTCTTGGTTATTTTATTTTGGAATCTATCCTATTTGAGGTTCGCTGAGCTTTTGGGGTGGATATCTTCTTGCCCTTCATGATATCAGGTAAGTTTTCTGACAGCAAACCTTCAAAAACTTTCTCTGTGCTTTTGTCTCTTCTTGTTCTGGAATTCCAATCATGGATGAATTATTCCTCTTAATGTTGTTCCATATAATTCTTAGACTTTCTTCATTCTTTTTTTTTCTGATTGTTCCTCTAACAATTTAGTAGCAAGGGATCTGTCCTCTATTTTGCTGATTCTGTCTTCCACTGATTCAATTCTACTCCTTTTTCCTTTCAATGAGTTACCTATTTCTGGAATTTTAGTGTTAATCTTCTTTATTTCTAATTGCTGCATTTATATCATTTCAATTTTATATTTATTTTGACATTTTGTTCTTGTGTTATTTGCTTGAATTCTTCTAGAGTTTTCTCTACATTTTCCTTGGTTTTGCTGTGTTTTCCTTGATCTCTTTCTGATCTGTTGAAGTATTCTAAATGTAATCATTTGAATTCCTTATAAGATAGTTCCACTACGATTTCTTCCTCAGTGCAGATTTCTGGCCCTGTATTTTGGTCACTTGCTTGAGCTATCTTGTTCTGCTTCTTTGAATAATTTGATGTTGTTTGTTTGTTGTCTCTGAGATATTAGGGTGTTATTGCATTTATTGATTGGTTGTATGTTTGTTTGCTTAGCTCTGATTTTTTGTTGTTTTGATATATCTGGGCAGGCAGGGTGGGCATGCTACTCTACTTGTTAGTTTGGCAGCACAAGGGTGCTCATAATGTCTGTAGGTGGGTGGGGTAATGTCTGGGACTGTGAGTGCTGGTTTCTATTTGCTGGTCATATGAAGCAGCTGAAGGTGAGCTGGGCAGGTTCTAGGCACACTGATCTAGTAGCACTCACAAAGTGCATAGGGAGGCAAGTGTGGTAGGTGTGGCTGGCTAGTGGAGATGCAGTTGCCACCTCCCATTGGATGAGGGCTGAGTGGAAGGCAGGTGTGCACATGGTCACACTGTCACCACCTCTTGCACAGTGAGGGTATGTGAATAGTAGGCTAACATGTCAGTGGTCACATACTTGTTTTTCCCTTCCCAGGTAGGGTGGGAAGGGAAGGATGAACAGCAGGCAGGGCAAGGGGAGAAGAAGTGTCAGGCAGGTGTGTGTTGGGTCATGATGCTGCCATATCTTGCTGGGACACGTGGGACATGGTACTTGGGTGGGCACACGTGCACATGAGCAGTGGCCACCTTCACTGGTTAGGAGGGAGAGGAACAAGCAGTGGGTTGGCATGTGCATGGTCACACTGCTTGCACCTCTTGCCAGGCCAGGGGTAGGAGGGCAAGCAGCAAGCAGGTGGTTTTGATGACATTGCTTCTCACTGGGTAGGGGTCAGTGGGTGGGAAGGGAGTGGTGATTGGCCAGCACTGCTCGGCTGGGTTGGTAAGCAGGAGAGGTAAGGCAATCAGACTGCTACCAATTGACTTGGTCAGGGGAATAGAATGGTGGGTGGCATGAGCACATGCTGCCAATCATGGAGGCAGCAGGTGTGTGGTATTTAATCCATGGGAGCACACACTGCTGGCCACTGGGGCAAAGGAGTGATGGGGGAGCCATAGGGAATTGGAGGGGGGCTGATTGGCCCACTGGGTAGCAGAGGGGTTGGCGAGGGGGCATCAGCAGTCACCAGGTGGGTGGGGTAGGAGGGCACACCTCTGGTTACCAGCAGGACAGGAAGCTAAAGGGGAGAATATACTCCTCCAGTTGCTGGTTACCAGGATGGGCACTGGTGCTCTCCTGGATGAGTACAGCTGGCTATGAGATTCTTGGCCTGGCCCAATGCAAGGTGGAAGAGGCTGCCCAGAGTCCAGTGTCGCCAGCCACCACTCCAAGGACCTTCACTTCCATTTAGATCTTCAACCCAAATGACCAGGGACCACTGTTGGTGAGTGGTTCTATACCTATTTACGGTTCCCTCCCTGCTCTGTGGTCACCCAGGTCCCTGAAGCTCTCATCCACTTTCCTTCCTTCAAACTGGTTCATGTTCTGCTCACCCTGCTTCACTCCAGATTAGCCAATATTGTGTCTCTGTACTATTAGGGATTCCAAGAGGTAGTCTTCCTGTGCTCCTCATCCAGGAATGCTGCTTGCATTGTCTTGAGATAGTCACACTGTGCCATGCCAGCTGGCATGGTACCTTTGTTCCATATCTCTCTTCATTCGCTGTTTTCATTCAGTTTCTTCCAATTGTTGTTTGATCTAATTCTTTACCCTTTTGTTTGATCCTCAGGGTTCCAGCATTTGTTTTTCATCTGTTTCACTTGTTTTCTAGGGTCTTTGGTGTAGATGGATGGCATATTTTGTCTGATTAGGTCACCATCTTAAGCCTGCCTCTCTCACACCATGGTTTGATTTCCCATTTAGGTTTGCCTACAAAGGGAGTATGTACCAGACTTTCTAACCTACATATTTCAGGATACGAAACTGTTATACTTCTATTAGTTAATGGACTACAATGCTAAACAGTTTTCAGTGGAGCTTCCAGACCAAAGTGGACTAGGAAGAAAGGCCTGGCAATCTACTTTAGAAAATCATCCAATGAAACCCTATGGATCACAACAGTCTGATCCACAACCAATCATGAGGATGCAACAGGACTGGGCAGCATTTCATTCCGTTATGCATGGGGTCACCATAAGTCAGGGGCCACCTCAAGAAATGTTAATAATAATAATATAATAATTTATACATAAGTCTCAAAAACTTAATGTGAGTTTGCTCCCAGAAAGGTGGATTTGCTCTCAGATTTTTGAGAAAATGAAAGTTCTAGGCTTTAAAACTAAGAACTAAATCCTAGACCATTAATCAAGATCAGGGTAAAGCCTCTCAGAAAATAGTTGCCAGTCTTTCTAGTAGCCAAAATACCACTGACTGAGTGTTCTGTGTTTTCCCTATGACATTGCTATACATATTACTTACATATTACTTGTTTTAGACTCCTTGCTTTTGAACCTTTCTCTGAGGTACTCTTTTCCATATAGTCAAACCTCTAGTTTTCATTTCCTTTTTACAACAAATAAAATAAGTATATCCCAAGTTCAGTGAACAGTCAGGTCTTTAGTGAAAAATATAAGGCATCATTTATAATTCTGAATGAGGAAATAAGGGCATTCTTCTCTCTCTCCCTCTCCCTCACTCTTTTTACACCCTCCTCAGTCCCTCTCAATCACACACACACACTAACATTTCAAATAACTAAAAATGAATTTTAAATATAGACCTAAAAGAGAAAAGGACACAAAAGGGTAACCTTGAGAGAGAAGACAGGATGGAGAATCCCCGCTGGCTATGCACTGGTGATATATGAGTCTAAAGTACTGATTGTACACATACGAGCCTCCTCATTTTTTAAAGCTCTGGCTGTCAGCTGTACCTCCTTCAGCTGAATCATGGTAGAGTTATTAATGTCTAACGGACACACCAATGACTTTTTGTTACCTACTCAGGGCTGTGTCCATCGCCCCTGAATAAAGATTTGTCCAGTTGACCTTTGGTCCTAGCTACAGTAAGAATTATAGTTTGAGCAAAACTACCAATATAACAACTATGTCATGTAGAGTTGTCTTACCTCCTCTGTCTTTAAAACTTCCCATATCCGAGCATGATCTTCCACCAGCCAGTGTCCAGTGCTGTCTACTTTGGTGGAAAGTTTGAATTTAGACACCACTTGAGTAGGCTCTCCTACAGTTTTCCCATCCATCTTGAAAGGGCCAAGCAGGAGGCATTACGTATCTGTGCGGAAGAACAAAGTGTGACCCAGGTTAAAACATTAAACAACATAAAAAGGGACATGAAAGCAAATGATCATGTAGATTTGTGGATAATGAGACCACTGAGACAGTTATCACAATAGGTTTTTATGGCCCCTTTTTATATTCTAAATATTCATTATTGGTATTTTAATGTAGGCTTCTGGAGAAAATGATGTGTTTTTATAATGGAAGCAATGACATAGCTTTGAAAGCAAAGTGAAAAGCATCATCCACCTGTTATATCTGCTTGTCCTTTGCTCTTGCTCCCTCAGGGGGAGAGACGGAATTGGATGGTAAAGCACACCTGAGTGATGGTTTCATATTTCCATGCCATGTGCTGCATGTGGAAGAAGCACTGATTATGAAGTCAGGAGAAGTTCGTTTATTTGCTCTTCAAACATCTATTGGGCATTGTTGATACCAGGCTCCATGCTGGTATCAAATGACCAATATTTGGTAGTATGGTTCTTGATCTCAAGAAGCTTAGAGCTTTATGGTAGAAAAGACTGTAAGCAAGTGTCACAATAATCAAGTCTCCAAACTGCAAGGGAAGCACAGAGGAAGAGTTCTTTCTGCATTTATTGTCTGTGTTACTTCCTTGGGCATCAGTTTCATGAGCATTTGCTGATGAAGATAATATTTAAAATTTGATATTAATTCTGTAGTTTCTATTTCCTTGACATCTTTCTCATTCTATCTGCCATGCCTTGTTCATGAATTCACCATATCTTGCCTGGATCAGCACCATATTCTCCTAAAGAGCCTCCTCATCACCATATTAGTCCCCTCAAATTTATCCTTCTCAGGATAGAATCTGATGATGATACACTTCAAACTTAAAATTTTTCCTAGAGATCTCGGAGCTAAGATGGAGGAACAGGCAGACAAGCAATACAGACCCTCTTCAATAAAGAAAAGAAAAATCAATTGAGAGAGATACAGAAGATAATCCTGGAACCCTGAGCTTTGAAAGGAACTATATACAGAAGTGGATTAGGCACCAACTAGTGGAAAAACCTGAATGAAAACAGTGAGTACAGAGATGGTCGGAGCTGCGGCTTGTCAGCTACTCTGATGGAACAACAGCCCGAATATTTCCAAGTGGTGTTGGGACCTGAGAATTGACCTAAAGATCAGCCCTGGTCACCAATGGCTACAGGGACGACTGTGCTGGTGGCCTCTGACTAGGAAGGGAAACAGAAAGGGGGGAGAAAACCTGAGCTGTTGACTTTCTGCTGTCCGGAGGGCGCAGCCATTTTGAATGTTTACACATGGCAGCCATTTTGGATATTTCAAGTGACAGAGGGCGCACCCATATTGAATGTTGAAAGTGATCGAGGGCACAGCCATTTTGATTGTTTACATGTGGCAGCTATTTTGGATATTTAAAGTGACTGAGGGTGCAGCCATTTTGAATGTTTACAAATGGCGGCCATTTTGGATATTTAAAGTGACTAAGGGCATAGCCATTTTGAACCTTTACAAGTTGCAATCATTTTGGATTTTAAAGTGACAGCATTCTCATTCGGATTCCAGGGACCTAAGAATAGGCTCTGTTTGCCAAGGTCGGCAAGGATGTAAAAGAGACAGACAACAGGAAAAGAAAAAGGTGGTGAGTGTGTAAGTGCTGTCAACTAGTGAATAGAGGAGCACAGCACAGTACCCTGCTTGCATAGATAACATACAAACAAAACAAAGAAAACGAAAATTGTGGGCAAGTCACTCCAACAATCACCAATTAAATATAAACACAAAAATGTCACAATGCCTTGGAGGCAACAGAGCATCACAGTCCACACAAAGAAGAAGCAAGATAAAGCAGGAGAAACAAGGGACCAGGATACAGACCCAAAACACATCCCTGAGGAACATGCAGCATTGGAACTCCCTGATAAGGAATTCAAAAGAATTATATTTAGGTACTTTCAACAAATTGAGAGGCAGATCAAGGAAAACACAGAGAAAACCCTAGAACAATTTTGAAAGACAATACAAGAACAAAATGACAGATGAAAAACTAGAAATGATACAAAATCTACAGATAGAAATCCAAAAGATTAATACTAAATTTTCAGAAATAGACATGGAATAGGCAAAGGAGCAGGATTGAATCAACAGGAGACAGAATTGGTGAGATTGAAGACAAATACCTGAACACATCTTTGCAAAGGGATAAATCAGAAAAAAGATCAAGACAAAATGAAGAAAGCCTAAGGTTCATATGGGATACCATCAAAAGGAATAACCTATGTGTAATTGGTATTCCAGAAAAGGAAGAGACAAATAAAACCACAGAGAAAATTGTTGAAGATTTGTTGGAAGAGAATTATCCTGGTATGATGAAAGATGAGAATATATCCATTCAGGAAGTCCAATGAACCCCAAACAGGATAGACCCCAAAAGAAAATCACCCAGACATATCATCATCAGACTTACCAAAACCAAGGACAAAGAAAGAATCCTAAAAACAACATGGGAAAAACAAAAAGTTACCTACAAGGGGCAAGCAATAAGACTAAGCTTGGATTTCTCAACAGAAACCATGCAGGTGAAAAGACAATGGGATGGTATATACAAAAAACAAAAATTTCCAACCAAGAATTATGTACCCAGCAAAACTGTCCCTCAAATATGAAATTAGGACATTTCCAGATAAACAGAAATGAAGTGAATTTGTTAAAACCAGACCAACCTTACAAGAGATGCTAAAGGGAGTCCTTTGGACAGAGAAACAACAATAGCCAACTACAACTGACCTTTAACACACATGATGATGTAACCAAGAAACCAACCCAGCTACAGACGTATCCTAAGTAAAGAAGCCTACAAGATTGTAAACAGGGAACCAGAGACACCACCAATTGACAAATGAGAACAACTACAAACCAAAAAGAGGGGAAAAAATCTGTGTCATTACAGAACTTCTAGATAGTAGGGAAGTCAAGATAACTACAAGATAGGACGGACTGTTCTAAACTTGGGAAGAAAACTATAAATCACAGTGTAACCTCAAAGAAAAATGATAAACCTTCACATCAAAATGAAAAAGAGGACCAGCAAAAATATTTAGCAAATACTAAAACAATAGCCACTCGGAGGAAGGAAGGTTGGGCAATCTACTTCCGTAGTGATACTGCCTCAGAAACCCAAGGAGCGGTTGCTATGAGTTGGGTCTGACTCGATGGCATACAACAACAACAACAACAACAACAACAAAAATAGCAATGAAGGAAGTGATAACACGATACATAAACAAAATGAGCTCAGCATAGAAAATTATATGGAACAAAGAAATCAACACCATGAAAAAGCACATGACAAAAATGACAGCAACAAATTCACATTTGCCGATAATTACGTATCTGGCAAGGAACTTATCTCTAAGATTTACAGAAAACTCCAATGCCTCAACAGCAAAGGGATTAACAATCCAATTGGAAAATGGGCAGAAGACATAAATAGACACTTCACCAAGGAGGATATTCAGGTGGCCAGCTAATACATGAAGAGACACTCACAACTCTTGGCCATCAGAGAGATGTAAATCAAAACAACAATGAGTTACTGTCTCATCCCAGCACTGATGACAAGGTTCAGCAAGACAGAAAATAACAAATGCTGGCAGGGATGTGGAGAGATTGAGACTCTCAACATTGCTGGTCGGACTGTGAAGTGATTTAAAAAAAAAAAAAAAACTATAGAAAGCAATAAGGTGATTCTTAGAAAGCTGGAATTGAAGATACCATTTGACCCAGCAATCCCATTACTAGGTATATATCCTAGAGAGGTGAAAGCCAGGACAGGAACAGATATATGCACGCTCATGTCCATCGCAGCATTATTTACAATAGCAAAAAGATGGAAACCACCTACATGCCCATCAGCGGACAAGTGGATGATCAAACTATGGTACATACACACAATAGAATGCTATGCAGCACTATAGAATAATGTAGAGCCTGCCAAACACCACATAATATGGATGAACTTGAAGGACGTTATGCCGAGTGAAATAAGTCAATCACAGAAGGACAAATATAGTATTAGTCCATTGTTGTGGAGGGTCAAAGAAAGGTTTACATATGGATGGAAACTTTCTTTGTTGGTTGCCAGGGGTGCGAGAGGAAAGG